CGATCTTTTCATTCCCAGTTAACAGTTTTGGTTCAGAGATTACAGTTGCCTGTTGGAGAAAAATGGCTCGATGAATACATGGACGAAAGCTCGAGGCTCTGGGAAGCCTGTCATGTGCTAAAATCCGGGGTATCGGCCATGGAGAATTTCTACTCAGCTGCTATTAATATAACTTATTTGATTGATCATCATCAGGTTTTCAATGCTCAACTTTCCGGCCAGGTTAGTATTACACGATAAAAACATCGATGGCAAGTTATTACCAAAGAAAAGAGTTAAAATCTTCTTCATTATTGTTTCTTTTCTAGTACTGTGTTCCAAACATACATAGAATAGTTTTTGGGTTTAGGAAACTAGATTTGGTTCCAAAACCCTGGTGGCATATTTAGTATATTGGACACCACTATAGAAAGTCGGTTCTAGTACTGTGTACGAAACATATCTGGAGTCTATAGTTTGTCCTCATCAATTTTCTCTTTAAAAACCCTCAAGACACGTTTGATATTGTAGACAGGATTATTGTCCGTCGTTGCTTAGTATTGTTACTAAACATGTTCGGATCATTAAACTACGTTCCAAACTTCTGGTTGTCTGACAGGTTATTCGGGCAATCTATGGGGGCCAAAGGGAAATATTGGCACTGGAAGAGGAAAACAAGAGCTTACTAGAAACAAGAATGCAAACTCTATCTCTGAGATTTGAGAAAAATGTCTCCATAGAATCGAAGTTCAACAAATTTTATAGCTTTAGAGGAGTCGTTTACGTGATCAGGAACATAAACTCAGTTCTTCTAGAGATCTTACTCAGCGGTCTCATATACTATTGGCCGGAAACAAGTTTTTGCAATTGGAACTATGAAGGAAACCTCGTATTCGGTTCAGCCGTCATGGTTTCGACTGCAACTTTGCTTCAAAGAGTGGCGTCTGCGGCCGTAAATCATACGGGAGGACAGGCAGGAATTCTTGCTTACGAATTTCGAAGGGCGAGATTTGAAATGGATGAGATGAAAGTGGAAATGGGGAGGATTATTGAGTACGAGGAATCAGAAATTGATATTCATGATAAGGTTGAGAATTTGAAGAGTTGCTTTGCAATGCTGAAATGTGGGAGTGAGAACTTAATTGGGCAACTTGATGACTTCTTTGATGAAATAGTTGAAGGAAGGAAGAAGCTTCTTGACATCTGCTCTCATAGATAGATAGAAAAAGAGAGAGGCAAAGAATTATTTAAATTCTTATGTTTTTCTTGCTACCTAATTCAGTTTTTGAAAACATTTAGATAACTTCTGCCGGGTCGATGACAAACTAAGACTTATGTGCTACATAAATTCTTTTTCATAGTTTATTTCGTCTACTGAAAGATCCAAATTAACTAAATTCTTACAAGAGCAAACGCCAGTATGGCAATGAACATCTGGATGATACTAGAAAATATGGTTCAAAGAATCTCGATAGTAGTTCAATGAACGATCCTTTACGAGGATGGTAGTTATTTCTCAGAACATGGAGTGTGAATTAAATCCAGTCACACTGATCCTATACTTTGATCAATTGACCAACGTAGAGATTTGCATCGATGCATGGGACGGAGAGGGTCGGTAGATCGCCACATTTATTTTAACATGAATAATCAATACACGTCTCATCAAATATGTATTTAATCAAGTGTTTAAATCTTAAAAGGAAAGGGAGTGAGATTCAAAAAGTAACATTACCATCTTAAGGGAAGAAACAAGAAGAATATAATAGATCAATGATAGCTTCAACAAAAAGCAAAATTTGCTACCCCAATAGAATATATTCTTCTAATGATTGTGATCACATTCATCAACACAAGTTCACAGTCATTCTCCAAAGTTCATAATTAACTACACAATACTGAATTTTTCACGACGACAAAAGTTAATATTTCATTGTTGACATGAAAAGAAGGTTAGGTTATCGTAAAAGGTTGTCAAGATAAGTATTTTACATTTGATCGTTGAATTTAAATTTTGAACGACCAAATCCCTATGTTTCAAACAACGAAATTTTACTTGTCGTTAAAATATCGTCTAAAATAAAATTAACAATTAAACACAAACATTTATTTTATGGTTGAAACTTTCAAAGTAAATTATCATTTTTCTAGAAGTTTTGAAATCAAATGTACAGAATTAGGTGAAGATAAGGATGTCGTTAGAAATTAATAAAGTAAAAATGGAATGCTGCTTCCTCTCCATACGACAATCTTCAAAATTAAAGAAAATGACAGCTTCTTCATGCAGGTGTATGGTTAAAATTTAGTCAGCCGGACAACTTTCTCTAAGTCCATTCTCGTTGTCTGATTTACACTAGACATGTTTTCTTTAGTATATATAATTGAACACGACTCGTCAGTACAATAGACACCATTAAAAATGTTCTCTAAACTCGACTGTGCATCCACAAAAAAATAATAATAATAATAAATAATAATATAGACATGAAAATAAGAAGTAATGATTTCGAATTTGTTGATGGGGAGATCTCCAAAGTATATGTAATGCGTTTTCACGTGGGATTCTTGTTGAGTTGTGATAGTAAATGACTAATCATTCCATTGTTTGTGAAACAATGATGGAAAAGTGGAACAATTTTAAGAATCTTTGGCTCGCTCTGTTTATAATTTAAAAGGGAATTCAAGGCAAATAGTAAAAATCGTGTGTATATTTATTTGTGTAGCACTTCTTTTTATGTTACTTAGTCCTGTTTGGTTCTCATTCTTTTCTCATTAAAATTAAAAATACGATCATTATCCATCATATCAAACCAACAAATTTGAGTTTCTATCTCTTGTGCGGGACCCGTAACGACTATATTTTTCATTCTCGTTCTTTCAAAAATGAGAATCAAACGGGGGGCTTAATTGGTGATAAAAATGACTATTTTTAAGCTGGTCACCAAACTTTATGTTTAGTGTCATCAGGGTCACTCAATTTAATTTTATTTCATCATGGTCACCCAATTTTATACTTTGTCTCACCATAGCCATTCAATTTAATTTTATTTTATCATGACCACTCAATTTCATATAACGTTTCATCATGACCACCTAATTTCTTTTCACACTTTTCACAAATTTTTAAAATGGTAAAATAATAACTTTGCATTATATATAAAAAATAAATTTAAAAAATAAAAACTTATTTTAAAAAATGTTCCTTAAAAAAATAAAACAAAATAAAACTTATATTAAAAAAAAGTTAATTAAAAAAATAAAAAGATATATTAAAAATAAGTTCCTAAAAAAAAGTTTTAAAATAAAATTAAAACTTATTTTACAAAAACGTTACTTAGAAGAAAAAAAAAACTTATTTTAAAAAAAATATTTTTAAAATAAAAAAAAACTTCTATTTTTCATTTTTTTAAAAATATATTTTATATATAATGCAACGTCATCATTTTATCCTTTTTAGAATTAGTGAGAATTGTGAAAAGAAATTTGGTTGAAACTTTATATAGCTCCCTTTGGCCCCCATTATATTACATTTCATTTTTTTCTCTCCTATTTTCAACCACACAATGTCACAATCTTCCATAAAATAATATTATACGTAAATCAAAAAAAATTTCCTTCTTTTTCAACCACTCATTTTTCCACAAAAAAAAAAAAACTATTCTATCTATTGTCATTTCTACAAAATTGGGGCCAATGGTGAAATAAAATCAAAATGTGTGGTTATGATGACACTAATTATAAAGTATAAAATAAAAACTTATTTTAAAAAAATATTTTTAAAATATAGAAAACTTTTATTTTTTATATAATGCAAAGTTACCATTTTACACTTTTAAATTAGTGAAAAGGTTGAAATGAAGTTTGGTGGCAATAATGAAATGTTATATAAAATTGGATAGTCATAGTGAAATAAAATCAAATTGAGTTATTATGATGACACTAAGTTTAAAGTGGGGAGACCATGATGAAACAAAATCAAATTTGATGACTATGATGACACTAAGTATAAAATTGAATGACCATCAGTGAATTTAACCCCTTTTTTAAAACTAATTCTAATTAATGTCTATCTACTTTAGTCTTTTTAAAATACGTATAGAGTTACCTATTTAAAAAAAAAAAATTCAAGTATAAAAAGCACCCCCGAATCGAGTTTTCTAATTTCAAATGTTTCATACACCTTTCTGTTTGGCTAGAGAGTAATCAAGTCAACTTAAGTAGGGTACAAGATGTTCTAGAAATCTCGAATAAGGTTGTATTAGTTGGGGGAAATTTTCACACGTACCATGCTCAACTGGCACACTTGTGCTTTATTTTTGATAACCAAATATCTCCACAGAATCTAATTGATATTTAAGGCACAAGACTTTTGAAAAAGTAAAAAAGATTGTGAGATTACCTGCTTGGGAATGATTTTGAAAATTAATTTTTTGATCGTTACGAGAAAAGTGAAGTCCACCTGTGAGAGAAGAAGTTAAATATGATGGCTGAAATATTAAAATAACGATCAAAAAATCAATTTTTTGAGAGGGAAAATCACTCACAAACAAGCTGTAAGCTTTTTAACATATTTAAATAATTTTCAAATAATATTTGTCCAACTGAAAGAAATTTTAAAGAAAACTGACCTAAAATAAGTTTATGAAAAAGCTCTTCTACAAGAAATCCAAGCCCTACCAAATGGACCCTTAGAGCTCGAGAACATCTAGTTCAAATTTGAACTAGTCAAGCTGGTTGGCTATAAATTTTCACTAGAACGGTCTCGAGTATTCTCAACAATGTACTAAAACAATGTACAAAACTGTAGCACAAATAGGTGCCAAAATTTTCCATTTTCTACCACTTCGTACTTCGCACGGGTCACAAGCAAATCCTCAATTATAAGCATACTTCAGTCGAAGCCATATTGGCAATAAGACACAATGCTTTGCTTCCTTTAAATTCTGCGAACAGACATGAAATGAACATCTAAACAATATGAATTCTTCAACATTTCAAAAACTAGAAAAGAAAATAGAATATATTTTGCACAAATAACATGTATTCTGGCAATTAAACAACAAAGTGAGACCTAATATCTTAAATTATGGACCCCGAGTCGAGTTTAACAGACAAAACAATAGACGATAAGGAGTATTGTGTTCCCAAAGTAACAAAATTCATATACAATTACCAATGTTGCCAAAAATGACTCAATATAAGAGGTGTTGCGGGGATCAGCCACCATAGATTATCTTCATCGACAAGATGCGAAGAAAAAAGACTAGACACACCACCCAGCATGTGCAGTTTACCATGAATAGAGGTGAAATGGAGCCTATCATGATTAATCAAGCTAGAGCGCAGAGTGGCTATATCTTCACAAATGCTCAGATACAAGTTGAATGTTGGTATTTATCCAGATGTATAACAGAGATAAGTCAGCCTTTGGACATAGGAATATGTTCTTCCATTCACACTTGCAAAAGAAATTAGATATCAAATCCTGGCAATGCAAACCGGGACGCGAAACTTTCAACTCTTGTTCTTAGCTCGACAATTTCTTTGCTGCTCTCAAGTCCCTTAAGAAAAGATTTTGGCACTTTCCCGTGTTCTCGCTGCACAGAACTTGCAATCTGTACTGCTCTGAGGAGAAAGTCAGCCATCATCTCAAAATCAGCCTCCAGACAGCCTCTAGACGTCATTGCAGGCGTACCTGCAGGCACAAACGTTATAACCAATCTCTAGTGCACAAATGCTTCTCGTGTAAAAACTCATGATCTTCACTTACCAATCCTTACACCACCAGGTGTTAAATTGCCATTATCATCAAAGATAGTGACCTTATTGAGAGTTATATGACACATCTCACAAACCTTCTCAAAATTTTTACCTATAAATCAAATAAGCAAGGAACATAAGTAACATAGAAAAAAAAAAAAACCAAATAATCAGTTACAGAAGTTATCACTAAAGTTTTAGGTGTACAACAAAAATAACAAGACATAGATACTACCAAAACAGTAAATAAATCCACTCATACTGCACATTCACTTGCATTCTACAGAGTTACTACCATAGCATTTATAGACATCAAACCTTAAACAAATTATAAACAAGAATTTGGCCAAATCCTAATCAGCACCTCAGACTAGGAGTCCAGAGGTAATTCCAGTACATCCTTCAACCAAAGTTTGCATGTCCCTGTATCTTATCCACAATACATAAAATAGAGAAATGGAAAAGAGGCCCCATTTATCTCATTTTACGAACCTGGCTTCACCGGGCAAGTATGAAGTTATAAATGATTTTATTTTTTTTTTATTATTTTATTTTTTTTTTGTAAAAGAGAATTCAGCTCAAACTCATAAAAATATAATTAAAGTATTTGAGCCAGTCAAATTGCTATGATAATTCATAATTCAACAGGTTTTTGCTTTGACAAATTATATAAAAATTTTCAGCTCTAGATTGCTATAATCTGAATGCAAGATAAATAGTTGTGAAAAAGGCTATACAATGTATAAAATGGAAAAATATTCACGAAATGCTATCTGACTGAGCAAAAATTATTTCTTGATACTTGTCTCCAAATTAACTTAGAAGAAACATTGGTTAATTCTGTATTTTGAGCTTTAGAAGTACCATAAAATATCCAACTTACAATCCACTAAAGTTTTGCTGTCTCTGGACTATCAAACTTTTATTGCAAAACATATTGCAGACAACAAAATTATAAAATGAATCATCAAAACTTAAGAAAAATATCCGTGGCAAGCATGTCAAAGAAATTCTAACATGCCTGTGCAGCTATGCTGTTCAACGACAAGGGTCTCCATAGTCACGTGCTATATAGTCCTTGGAGAGGGTAATTTGATAATTCCCTTTCATAAAACTAAACATGACCTCCCCCATAACCCGTCTATGCAAAAATGACCTTACTGTTACACACCAGTATGAACAGTGGATGCAAAAATTAAACCAGGATGAAGTAAATTGGTGAAGTCACCTAACCTCAACAATGCTCCACAAACAACATAACTGATCACGCATACACAACAAGGAGTGCTCCAACTACCGGACTTTCTTTAGATATTGTATCTTAAAATTGAATCACAGTGCATGGAAGTGAGGCATATCACTCCCATTTCAAGTTTGGGGGACTTGAACGAGAGCTCTCAACATAAAGGGCAAACAAGAGTAAGAGGTAAAGGAACCATACAAGTAACATATTAAATATATGAATTCAAAGAAACAAAATGCATTACAGCTCACAAATATAGCATGGAAATGAAGACCCAGAACTTAAGCCCAATCTATACACTCACACAAAAATGTGCTTCATCATTTAAACGGTCATCTTTCATTCTAATTCCTTTCCTTATTTTTTGCGTCTGGTCAACTGAAATTTTCCAATTTTTTTCCCCTCGGCATAAATAAATCACAGTTTACAAAATCACCAAACTGATCTTATATTTGTATTCTACGGGTATACAACAGGCAGAATGTTTTGGTAATTTGGTGTAATTGGAATGCTATATGGCAAACTCACAAAACCAGTTTGACTATTTAAAAATCACAGTGCACAGGTTGCATCAACAATGTAGGTATAATTCAGTTGTTAAATTGTCAGACGAGAATGCAAGATATTTGGAGTATATAATACCTGTCAATCCAAGGTTTCTAAGATCCCAAAGCAACAAATGATTGTCGGTGCCTCCAGTGACTAGTCTACAATTTCTTCTTAATATAGCAGATGCTAAAGCCTGAGCATTTTTCTTCACCTGCTGCATATATGCCTTGTACTCAGGAGTGGCCACTTGTTTCAATGCTATAGCTAGAGCTGCAATGTGGTTATTGTGTGGCCCACCTTGAAGTGCTGGGAAAACTGCGAAGTTTATCTTTTCCTCAAAATCATATCTATCACTGCCTTCACCTTGATTCAAAAGCATGCCTCTCTTCCTCGGCTTTGGGCCCTTCCTGTAAAAAATAATACCTCCCCTCGGACCTCGAAGACTTTTATGGGTGGTTGAGGTAACAATATCGCAGAATTCAAATGGACTTATGCACTCCTGCAGATAAAGAATCATTTACATGATTAAAAAATCAAGGAACCTTGAAAATTAAAAGAAGAATAGAAGTAAATACAAGAAACTCTGACACAAGGAATTAAGACAGGAGGCTTGCATAAAAATAAAATTATAGGCCCCAAAAGTTTAAAGAGAACGACCAGACAAAACTTATATGATTGCTTAATATATGAATCTTGGACAAGAAGAGAAATAAGTCCACACAGGCAAAGCATGTAACATATTTCTTCTTGGGAGCAGTAATAGTGGAAATCGTATTGAGATTCTAATTGACAGAACGATATGTTATTTTATAGATTGAAATCTGATCAAAAGGTTGGATAAACTTACTGCACTTAAATCTTGGGCATGAACTTGTCATTGATATCTATGACAAACAAATACTGCTTAAAATATGACGAGTGCAATACTTGTTTTTCTAGCCTTGGGTCCAAAATAAGAAAATGTCCAAGTAACAACAAGAAATTTAGGGCTCGAATGGGTGCACTCTGCAGAGAAAGAATATTGATAAAAGATATGTTAAAAGAGTTCATAGTTGGTTGCCCATCAAACCTCTACCAAATCTTGTTTTCATGAATCCTAGGTGAAAATAGTTTAAGAAATAACCAAGGTCCAAAAGATTCGTACAAGCCAGCACACTATATACCTTAAAGCTGAATGGAATCATGTGATGTTACCAGGATAAAATATACTAGTGATGGACCTTCACCATCCTTCCCTGTACCCTTTACCACCACTATTCCCCACAGCTCCTTTTCTCCTTTTTCACAACCCCGCCTCTAACTATCTTTCCACCATCTTTCTTATTCCCAGTCCCAGCTACTGGCTGCACTGCAAAGCTATGCAGAACAAGCAATAGCAAAAATTACATAAAAGATCCTTTGAATATTTTTTACCCCTTGATCAAGTTGGAAGTATATGTATCTATTAGCATCTTATTTTAGATCTATAGTGGACTGGAGTGTACCATAATCATTAATTCTGATGAATACGAGTTTTCAACAAGTTCCATGCAAAGGTGTAACGTCCCAAATTCTTACAACTTGTTAAATTTAAATTTTGGACTTAAGTGCATTATTATTAGAGTCTAATGACCTTATCGATTGTTGACCAATAGTTTGAAGACCTAAATAGAGAGTTATTATGGAAGTAAGATGAAATCATAAAACATATGTAAATATGTATATTCTGGTTTCTCAAAACATGGATAGGGTATTGCCGCGGCATATGGAAGATGCGTTAAAGGTATGGAGGAGTAAGTTTCTTAATAAGGACAGTAAGCTTGTTTGGGACCTCATTCCGAATTGCATCGTATGATGTGTGTGGAGGAAGAGAAACAGTCACTATTTTGATTATCATACACGGACAACAGAGTAGAGTAGGAAATTGTTTTATTTCACATTGTATACTTGGTATAATGTTACGGTTACTACTCGTATAGACAAGTTATCTAATTTTATTTTTTTGTGTTTAAATTGATAATATACTTCTTGTGTATTATTCTTGATTAATAACATATTTGATTAGCTATAAAAAAAATGTAAATATGCCAATTGATCTTGATTAAAGATGATTTATTGACCATATGCATTATTCACACCACATTTCAAGCCAATGTAATTAATTTGACCGTATAAATAAAGGTAATTGATTTGACTACATGCATTACTTACACCAAGTTTTAAGCAAAGCGAATTGATTTGATCATACGATTAAAGTATTGATTTGACAATTTCCATGACAATACACCATTTATGCACTGACCATGCCTAACATCTAGCCATTTCCTTTCACTTTTCTATACATGGTCAAGAATTTATACTGTAAATAGGAGACAAACCCAACACTAAATTATCCCTCACCAATTACTTACACACTCTTCCTCCCTACCTCTATCTCTTTGTTTCTCAACCTTTACTTTCTCGTCCTTTTTATATTAAATATAGTCGTGCACTTAAACAATCACACGTGAATAATCAACCTCACATGTGACTCAAGGATCTCTTTCCAACAATCACTCCTTTTATCATTTTGAATTGCCTAGTGAAAAGTAAGTTGTGTTTTATGTTTATGGTGACTAATATTTATGTATATAATATTTCTACGATTATGTTTTGGTCCATAATTTATACTTTCTATTTCGAATGGACCGAAGTTTAGTAGCACTTTGCACGAGAATTTAGCACCATATAAATTCGATTTAATTCTCATGTCTCCCCATGCAAATTATGAATTTTTTGTATAAATACATATGTGAATCCACACACTCTACTTTCTAATAAGTGATGATTCAGGTCGGTTGGCACGAAGATGGCTTATGGTGGCAAAAATTTCAATAATAAAATTATTATATTGTCAAATTATTGTTATTTTATTTGATTTAAAATATTTTAAGATATTTCTCATTTCAAGTCAATTTAGTAAACTCATTACATTATTTGTATTTTGGTAATTGTGTTTAATACTCTTTAAATTAGTTTTAGTTTATGATTCATACTCTACTTTCTAATAATAGATGATTCGGGGCGGTTGGCACGGAGATGACTTATGGTGGCAAAAATTTCAATAATAAAATTATTATATTGTCAAATTATTGTTATTTTATTTGATTTTAAATATTTGAAGATATTTCTCATTTCAAGTCAATTTATTAAACTCATTACATTATTTGAATTTCGATAATTGTGCTGAATACCCTTTAAATTAGTTTTAGTTTATGATTTAGAGGCACTTTGGTTCATGTCGTCACAAAAGATGTATTCAGTATTCCAACATTCCAACTTATACTAACATATGGGACCATAATTTCAGAAAGGCAGAATCATTTTTCAAACTCTTTTCAGAAGAACCAAAAAGACAGGAAATGACTACAAATTTTTTACATGCTCTCACTTGAGCCCTTATCCAAGTAACGTCCAAATCAGATCCCAAAGTTATGCGAGAATAGTTGCAATCTCTTTCCACTATTACATTCAGTACTTAAGAGAACCCAAAATTCAAAGTCCACATCAAATAGCAAGACAGTGGTATATAGATAATACAGAAGAGCACTAATTCTGATGGGCAAGTGCACAAATCAAAACATCCAAACATTAACATTGCAATTCTTATAGATATTGGAAAAAAGGAATATAAGGAAAGGCCTCTAGTTCTAAGTATGATGACCTAACTAGTATACAACCAATTCCACTTTTAACCAAAGATCCTCATGTAAATTATATCAACTCAACCATATAGGAAAAAAAAGATTTAAATGACCATCCTCAGTTTACAGTTTCAAAAAGTAAAGACCAGAAGCATGCAGGTGACACTGGAAATTGCAGTGTAAAAGTCTTCTCAAAAAGAGCACACATACTACACACAACCCCTGAAGGCATCTGCTCAAATGAACATATAACTCAATATCAGAAACAGAGACGATTATCAAAGCAAAATAAGCGCAAGAAAAACAGCATGCCAGTATCAATAAAAACCAGTAAAAGGCAGAAAAGACTTGTACCTTAGCAGCAATAAGACCACTAATCTGAGCCATGTCACACAACAAAACAGCTCCACATTTATCAGCAATCTGTCTGAACCTAGCATAATCCCACTCCCGAGGATATGAACTTCCACCACATATTAATATCTTGGGACGAAAATCAACCACCTTCTCCTCCAGCTTATCGTAATCAATATATCCTGTCTGAGGATTCACCTTATAAGACAAACTCTCAAAGAAAATTGATGCCCCTGACACCTTTCTCCCATTTGGCAGATAGCAGCCGTGACTTGTGTTCCCACCAGAAGGGGTATCCAACCCCATTATCCTATCACCGGGCAATAACAACCCAGTGTAAACCGCAAAATTTGCAGATGTACACGAATATGGCTGCACATTCACACCCCAACTCTCAGAATCAAGCCCAAAAGCAGTCAATGCACGCTCACAACAGAGTATCTCAATCTCATCAATATACTGATTTCCACCATAGTATCGTGACCTGGGCATCCCTTCAGAATATTTATTAGTTAAATGGCTCCCCAAAGCCTCCATTACAGCTTTACAAACAAAATTTTCTGAGGCAATTAATTCAATTCCTCTATATTGCCTCATCTTCTCCTTCTCCATTATTTCAAAAACATCTGAATCAGCAACTCGCAAGCTCTGATTCCCCCATGCCCTGACAGCATTCCTACGCAATTCAAGCTCATCTGAGGGACCCCTGAGACTCTTTGCAGGCGAGGACGATGTTGATGACGCTGAATCACAGTCCCGCTTCCTCTTCAAACACATTGAATGCCCCCAAAACCGAAACTCCTCCACATCTTTCTCCTCTTCAACTTTCTCACTTTCTCTTTTCTCTTTGTTCGAATTCTCTTCTTGGCAGTTATGATGATCCTCCGTTTGCTGGTCCATCAATTGGAGTGGGATAGAAGACAACGGATGCGCCATTTCCTCAATCGTGGAATCGATTTGGAAGGAAATCGAGTCATCCACGATTTTCGAGCCTCGATCATTCTTACTACCATTCGGTGCAGTAACCACCGATGAATGCGATAAAAACCCTAACGAGAGACTTTTACTCGGTGGCGATTGAGTAAAATCCATTAGAGTGATACAACCAAAAGCAGCAAAATAAAGTTTATGTCAATGATACTTTAAATTTAGAATTCAAACAGAAACCCTAACCCCCACCCTTTTCAACAGAGTTGACAGTAACAGTAACGGCAGCAACATAAACAGAAACAGTGCTGGTGGTGCACCGATCGGCGAGACGTCGACTGGGAAATTGTTGATAAAGCTTCCATGAAAATGAATAAATCTCAAAAAATAAACCCAATAATTGGAACGCTGGGTGGAAATTACAAGCTCACAAATACTACATATATTTTACAAATATGAGAGAGAAATGCGTGGGTTTGACGAATAAGGAGGGGGAGATTCAGAGAGGAATGCACCTGGACGATTTTCAGAAGCGGGGGTTCCGGTGACCTATTTGATGGACCAGGAGGGCGAATTCTCTGCGGTGCATATGGAATGCAACCGGTGTCTTATTGGTCCACGTAATGAAATAACAGAGTGGCGTTGGGCCCTAGAGGGATTCTTTAGTTTTTGTGGGGACCATATTGGTGTTCACGTCAAACGTCGAGGATTTTAATATATTGAGGTAGTTGTTGAGCGGTAATTACACCTCTAGCCCCCAACCTTTCCACTTTGTATCAATTTTATCACCATTAAATTTTAATAGCACTTATTATCCTAACTTTTCAATAATTCACTATGACCTATTTTCAATAACTTTTAATAGATTTTGATAAAAATTGATGTAATATATATTTGAAAAGTTAATAAAAATTATAAATCTCATAAAAATGTATAGTTAAAAAATGAATTTGAAAAAATGGAAATCCAAGAAAGGCTTAACAAACAAAAACCAAACACAACTGAAAATGAAAACTAAAAAATAAAATAAAATAAAAACTCATCTTCTTCGCACAAACCTCAAAAGCCATTTACTCCAACTCCTTTGCCCAACCAAGAATTCTTCATTGCCATCTGGGTGGGGGTGTCAATGGCCAAGTCAAGTCGGCTCAACTCAACCCTTTTGACTCGTAAGTCAGATGGGTTGATTTGTACATCCATGAGTCGACTAATTTTTTTATTTTTTACTTTAAAGAAAGTGATAAAATAAAATCAAAAATATGGATTTACTGTTTTTTTGAAAGAAAAAAAATTAATAAAGTTGGCCAAAAAACAAGTTGATTAGTGAGCTAGCTCATGAGCTTCACAAGCCAAGTCACTCAACTCATGTAATTTTTTTGTGATTGACTCGACCACGAGCCCAAACGATCCATAAACAGTTTGTCACTCCTACTACATCTTATCATTTATAAGAATCTCATGACACCGTTCAATATTACATATAAACAAGAACCTTGTTGCTTATTTGCCCTCCATCTGAAAAGTAATATTTTTCAAAAATAATCTTTAGTTATTGTTAAAAAATAAGTTTATTTTTCACGTTTACCAATACAAAAGTTATTTAGCCCTTGTTTGTCATCTATTATTTGGGAATTAAAGAGTTTTGAATAGTAATTTTTAAAAAATGTGTGATTAAAAAGTAATGAAACTTTATTGATTTTTGTGTCGAATATTTTATTGTGCGAATATGTGGTGAAAAATAATACTACAATAAATAATTGGGGGATTTGTTTAAGAAGCCTAGTGAACCATAATTTTTGCTAAAGTAGCCTAATCAATAGTTTTTGTTCAAAGAGCCTATGTCATTTATTAGATATCCTTAAATTTAAATGACTAAAATATCCAATTTGGAGTTCAATATTTACCAAATCCCCCAAACATAAATCCCCACTTTTATACTAACTTTTCATACACATTTTAAAACTAACGGCAAAATGGCATACTGCCTTTTGAAACGACTGAACGTCGTTTTAACTAGTTTCATGTTTGTATTACTTTATGTTTCTTCGTCCACATAAAAATTAATGAAAGCAAGTTTTAACTATATTTTGAGTGAAATTGAGAGTCCATGATCCAAAGTGGGATGTTGTCGTTGTAAATAGTTTAATGACGTTTTAACTAACGTAAACAATTTTTCACTACATTTATAGTGAAATCAAGACCTTATAATCCAAAATGTCATGCTGTCGTTTTAAATAAGTGGATGTCATTTCAATTAATTTCGTATCCGTTTTTCTTTATTTTCACTCATATGCACATGAAAATGAATGAGTAGAAGTTTTCATTTCATTTGGACCCGAGTAACGATATAAAGTTTACAGGATAATAATCAATACTATATTCCGTGAGTAAATTGAATTAGACTTAACGATGAACGAAGGCAAGCAAATTCCATTATATTCTAATTATGAGATAAAATATTTAATAAATTACTGCATTTAACTTGTACAAGTCTTCTATGACGTTCCAAGTCTAATCGATTCTTTTTGTATTGAAATCAAGGCCCCGTGACCTGAAAACAACATCATGTCAATGAAAATGTTAGGTGTTATTTCAACTATTTTTGTGTTCGTTCCACTTTATATTCACTCGTATTCATATAAAATGAACTAGTGCAAGTTTTTACCACATTTGGATATACAAAAGTTCACTCGATAGTAATCTACAATATTATTCTGTTAATAAACTATAGTAGATTTTGATGTGAATAAAGGTAAACAATTCAAATTCTAATTATGAGATAAAAAAAATCAACAAATCGGCTCGTTCAACTTGTATAAATCTTATATAATGTTCCAAAGTATGATTGACTCATTTTAGAGTGAAATCTAGAATCCATAATCCAAAATGTCATGCTGCCATTTCAAATGATTGGGTGTTATTTCAACTAATTTTGTATCAGTTTCACTTTATTTTCATTCGTATGCATATGAAAATGAACGAATTGAAAGTTTCATTACATTTGTTCAAATTACAGTGAGCCACTCCATAATTTGATGGAAAATTACACTACATTTGATAATAAAGAAAATCATAAATAGCAAGTATGGTGTCCAAAACATAGCACGTGTCGTCGTTCAATGTGTACGAGTCATATATGATGTTTCAAAAGATATTTTACTAGTTTCGGAGTGAAATTAATATCCTGTGACCCAAAACGACATCTGGTCATTTTAAACGTATAATTGATGTTTCTACTCATTTAGTGCTCGTTTCGATTCATTTATGCATGTAACCATGTGAAAGTTTAGGGATGAAAGGTTCTACTACATTTCGACGTTACTATCGACACATTTATTCAAACTATATTGAGTCACATTATACATTCGATTGGAAAGCACATTACATTTGACTACAAAAGAAAATGTGACAAAAATGGTACACAAAATATAGCATGTACACTATTACAATTTGTACATCTTATCTATAATGTTTCAAACTATCTTTACTAGTTTTGGATGGAAATTGATATCCCGTGATCCAAAATGGTATCTGATCATTTTAAACGTATAACTGACGTTTCTACTCATTTAGTGTTCGTTTCGGTTCATTCATTCTCGTAACCACACGAAAGTATATGGGTGAATGTTTTAACTACATTTCAACGTTGTGGTCGACACATTTGTTCAAACTATAGTGAGTCACTCCATAATTCGATAGGAAACTACGCTACACTTAACAAGTATGCTATACAAAACATAACATGTACAATCATTTTACTTGTACGTTTTATCTATGATGTTCCAAACATTATTTTTACTCATTTCAAAGTAAAATTGATACCACATGACTCAAAACGACATCTAATTATTTTAAACGTACAGCCGACATTTCTATTCATTTAGTGTTCGTTTCGGATCATTCACGTTCGTAACCACGTGAAAGTTTAGGGATGAAAGTTTTTATTACATTTCGATGTTGCGATCAACACATTTGTTCAAACTATAGTGAGTCAATTCATAATCCGCTAAGAAGCCACACTTCACTTGACAAAAAAGAAAAAACGTAAGTAATAAGTATAGTATCCAAAATATAGCACATGTAGTTGTTTAATCTATACGACTCATGTATGATGTTTCAAAACATGTTTCACTAGTTTCAGAATGAAATCGACACCCCATTACCCAAAACAACATCTAGTCGTTTTAAACTCGAAGTTGCTGTTTAGGGTTTAGGTTTTAGAGTATAGGATTTGTGTTTTGAGATATAGAGTTAACAAAATAGAAAAACGTGTAATTATTCAACATGTAAAAGTCATGTATGATGTTCGAACACTATTTTATTAGTTTTGGAGTAATATTCATACCTCGTGAGGCCAAATGGCATCTGATCATTTTAAATGGAGGGTTGCCGTTTAGGGTTTAGGGAATAGGGTTTATGTTTTAGAGTATAAGGTTTAGAAAACAGAAAAATATGTAATTGTTCAACATGTATAAGTCTATATGATGTTCAAAACACTATTTTACTAGTTTTGAAGTGAATTTGGGATCCCTTGACGAAAACGGCATGTTATCATTTTACACGTAAGGGTGTCATTTAAGGGGTAGAGTATACAAAAATATAGCTCGTGTAATCATTCAATATGATCAAGTGAAATTGAGATCCTGTTACCCAATACCACATGTCATTCCAATACTTGTTTCTTAGTGAGATCGAGGCCTCATGACCCAAAATAGCATGTTGTCATTTTAAATATATAACTGTCGTTTTTCAGACTGGATAAATTTGCATCGTTAATAATACAATTTTCTTTTCCATTGCATAAATATATAGGCTATCATAAAAAATTGTAGCTCTGTTTCAACCCTACTACTTAATATTTGAATAAAACGTTTATTCAATGGAAAACATATGGGAATTTTCATAGTTGCACTAGTCAACATCCATACACATGTTCCGTACTCAATCATAAAAATCAATACTAACTAAACAAAATTAGTATTCATGCACTTGTTTTCCAACTAAATCATACAAAACGCTACTATCTAGATAAAGTTAGCATCTAAGTCCTATATCATTCGACTGTATAAAATTGAAAAATATACAAAGAAAACAATTATGTTAACTCGGCCATCGAAGGCGAAATATATTCGAACAAAATACATTATCATAGATATTCTGGTCAAACTGTAAATATAAATTAGAAATCCCACTGATATGCTTATCGTTTCAATCACTTATGCATTCGTAAGACTAAAATTTGAGGTGACAAAATACTCTTAAAAATAGCAACACTAGCATAAATAAGATAAGATGAAACAAAATAGTTCTCAAGCAGCACCTACAATTTATTTCCGTTTAAACTTTGCACGAGCTACTACTAAAGCACCTAGCACCGAATACATTTAGTCATCAGAATATACCAATTGCAAGAGATAACCACCAACTACCTACTGACTAAATGCATACTCCTACAGAAGTAAATTCTCAAATAAGGACGAAAGAGAGAAAAATGACCATGTAGATGTTCTCAAATCAAATGCCAAAAT